TCACGGATCTTCTTCCGACAGCCTCCAACGATGATCTGCTCGACTACGCCGAACTTCAGACGACGCACCGCGAATCAATTCTCGAGAAGCTATCGAAGCTGGAAGACCTCAACGCAAAATGGATCGAACTGATGACGCGGAAAAACACACACAAAGGGGTAAGTCGGGGAACGAATGCCGCTCACGAAAGGCTTTATTTCGGACCGAGAATGCTACTGTGCGACAAGCTTATATACCATAAGAAAATGACGTTTTTTGAGGAGTCAAAACATGGGAGCCAATATTTCTACGGGCAGACAAAATATGACATTTCTCTTGAAGGATGATTAAGAAGGAAATGATTCAATCAAATTTCGATTCAGTAAAAGGCTCAACTATACGAAACCCATGATACCCCTCATTTGCAGAGTTATTCTGCTTGTCTCAGCAGTCTTGCTGAAAAAGGTGTACAAGGTGGAGGAAAGAATGATTCCCTGAAACTTGTGCGCTTAGCTCGAGAATATTGAGCTGAATGAAATGACCGGTGATTGATCGTGGGCTAAAAAAAGTGCTACATCGCACGAATTAGGTGATCCCCTCAAGCCAACCAGACGTCCCCATCCCTCCTGATTGTGCAATGGTATGAGTACCGGGAGAACAGGAGCGTAGTGTAGAAGGGCGCCTGGCCCTTGAAATCACTGTGTATGCCAGATCATGTAGTAAGATGCCTCAACAGTTTTAAATGGAAGCCGAGGGCGTCACACAGTTTCAGCAACTTTATCCACATCTTATGGAAGAGATTGTTGAGAAAGTTCGGTTTGGTGGAGGCATCTAATGGTACTCAGCGAAGCTCCTATAGACTAGCTGTGTTGATTCTCGCAGCCAAAGTGGCTCACGCTATGCCATTTTGCAGTTCGTCAAAAGTTGACTTGTGCTGTTCTGTTAATGAACACGCGCTAGCAAGAGGAATGAGCCAAAAGGCGGGAGCCCCCCTCCGAACTGAACAGAGATTTCTTTGACCTGGTCGCTCAGGTTACTGTGAAACATTTGAGCATTTGAAGCGCTACTGTGGCAGTCGGATTTTCACTGGAACTGTCTCTTTTGATGAGAAATTGAATTTCAGGCAGGGATGAAGTAGGGTATGAATTTCAGGTGCAGTAACGGATCGTGCGAATCTCATCGCTGACGGTGCAAATTCAAATGGTTCATATGGTGCGGCTGGAATTGAGGCACCAAATACAGCCATAATGGTAACGATGGTAACTAATGAACGTCTGGCTTCAAGAGTGGAGAGTGTTAGTATTCCATTATTACCTTTGCTGGCCTAATTTATTTTTTTTGTCGTGGCTAATCATTGTGGAAGTGCAGAGTTACTTTTTAGGATCCGAACGGTTGAGAGGATATTAGATGTTAATCAGACCCTTATGTAGGACATGCGGGTTATAGGTCATATTAGGGTAGGAACTTAATCCGACCGGCAAAGGGATACGTTAGAATCAGGGCACATCGTACTTTGGGGAAACCTAGTGGGAGTCATAACTAGTCGACATAGGGGGGGGGGTCGTGTTTGGCTGAGGAAATTTTTTCGGTTAGTTTTTTCTCGGTTTTGGTTATACGTTGTGTTCCACGGGTAGATCTAGTATAATCGTTGGCTTCGGATAATACCTATGAAGGGGAAAGGGCTTTGCTTTGCTGTCGGGGGGAAGGTGGGAGAGGTGAAGCGAGTTTCTTAGTAACTCTCCTCCGAGTGGCGCGAGAAAATTTTCTCGCAGTTGTTGACTCTAGGTTCTTTCCGATTCCGTTGTGATATACTACATTCTCCCTGACCATTGCCGTCGCTCAACCGGCAGACTTTCCGGACAGAAAACTAAAATCGTAATGAAAAAGTGGAAGAAATAGTGGGTGAAGAGAGGGGGGAGGCTCATGTCAGAGAGGATATTGGCAATGGTCGTTAAAAGCTCATATATGTGTCAGATGTGTTGATTTGCTGCTGAGCGGTGTTCAATATCGCAAAGGGCTATTGCCTGGATCGACGGATGTGGTCAGCGATATACCAGACCTGTCAGGAATGTATCGTGCGTTTTTTCATTGTTTTCACATTTGAATTAAGAGAAATTTGCTATTAAAATTTGTGGATAACGCGCGATCAATGTTTCAAGCTGTGCAGGTAGGTTTCGAAAGGAAGCAAAGTGCAATGTTATACGGAAACGATTTTTCAGGGAAATGGCAAAAGCAAAAATAAGCGAAGAGAAGTATTTTCTGGGAATTGTGGTATTTAACAATTGTGATTTGGATACTGATATCGATAGAAGTTAGTAGGAGTCTCTAATGAGACTGTATGATTTTTCATGAGAACTTGCTTGCAGCCTATAGATCTGTTTTGCAGTGTACTGGAGCACGATGGACGATTAGAGCTTGAGATCGTCGGCTAATGGGTGGAAAATTTGCGACTTTCGTTTTCTTCTAATGTCGCGCTATACTTATGAAATATTCCGCGAGTTGGAGCTAAATGGGCGATGTACAAATGGAACTGATGGTGTGAATCTTTTCACTCTTATTTTAAGACGATCGTTAGGAAGGCAAAGGGCACCTGAGGAAAGCCGCAAATATTTATGGTCGTCGCCTTGTTCGAGTCGCGGATTATGTCGTGATTCTTTAGTAATATTTTGATGGGAGATTCAGAGACCAGATAGTATTGTAAGGAGTTTGTGATCTTTGGCGTCCACTTCTTTTCTGTGCCACAGATTTCCTACCTCTCACTACTAACTGGAAAGCGCCCGTTGCTCGTCCCATAGTGAATCATTCTTTTCACCCAATCACTTGAAAATTATTGCCTCGTTTAGCTAAACGGAGCTTTTCAGCTGTTCGCGCCAGGAAAGTTGTTGTACATTGCCGAGGATGAGAGTTTGGAGAATGGAGTATCGAGTCAATGGATTGATCCTAAGTGAGTTATTGTTCAGCCTGTTGGCCCTTGTTTACAGTAAGCCAGCTCCAGAACACATTCCTCCCGGTCTACGGTCTGACCTGAGCATAATACTGATGAAGATTGAGCCCTTACAATCGTGATAGTCCTAATCCATCGTAAGACTGTACCTAACTGGCCTACGCCAGTTAGGTATAGTCTTACGATGGATTAGGACTATTTTCAGTCTTTTATGTGATATCATGTCACATAGCAAGTGCGAGAATTATTTTTGCTCGGCCAAATGAGAACAGGTGGACAATCAGAGCACAACCCGCTGTTGGGGAAAATTGTACGAAAATACGACTCCCCTCAAAAATTCCTCCTATGCATCTTCCTGTGAATCCTTTCACGGACATAAAGGTCTCCTGGGTACACTGATCTCTCTCGACTATCTAACTGTCCAATAGAGCCAGATTCCCATCAGAGGCGACTTATGCGAAAACGTTAGTCCTCGAAAAGTTCGTATCTGCCTTGGGAGACCGAGATGGCAAAATGTTTGTCACCTTATTAGGTTGTCGCATAAGTTCTTATACACGACTTTTTTGTAAATATCTCAAAAACGAACCAGCCTGGAGATTAGAGGTATGCACCATCACCATTCACTACTCGACGCCAGCGCTCAGGCAGCTTGTCGATTCCATCCTTCCAGAACGACGGAGGCTGGGACTTGAAGAAGTCGTCGAGCGCCTTTCTGACCTGATCCTTTGTTTCGAACTTTTTTCCGTCCAGATAGCGCTGCAGGTGGCTGAACAGCCAGTAGTCAGAAGGAGCGAGGTCAGGGCTGTAGGGAGGGTGGGCGACCATCAGCCATCCGTACTTCTCCAGCTCGGCCTGGGTCG